CAACCATTGTGCAGTGTGCATTCAACAGATGTTGGCCTCATCCCAGTATGGACTTTATCTGATGGTGAACAGCACAGGTGAAAAACAGCCTCCAGATTAGAAGCTACCACCAACTTCAATCCTTCGGAACATCTGTTACAATGGACACCCAGCTCTATCTGTGGTTTAGGTTAACTTTTCCACAGCAACCATCTGATGCCAAGCACCACTTGGGGAAGAAATTTAAAATTCCTGAGTCAAAAAAAAAAAAAAAAAAAAAAAAAAAAAAAAGAGAAAAGAGACATGCACCGAAAATAATTACAGACAAATATGTAACCAAAATTAAGGTACCAGACTGCACATCTAATTTAGTAAGAGTTTGAAAGCAAATTTAATACAGATTTTTCTTCCTTCCAAAACATATTCTCCCACTACCCAGTCGAGTCACAGATATTCTAAATATCCACAGAAATAAACCTCTGTGGGCAGGTGGCTCAGGCTCTAGTCACCACAGTTTATGTTCCAAACCAATAAAAGTCCTGTCCTTTCCCTTAAGGAATGAATCTCAGGAACAAGGCAGAAATTAAGAGACTACTGCATCCTTTGAATGAAATGATGTTTTCTTTAATATCTTATTTTTCGTAATCACTGTATCCTCCTATGTGCTAGGTTGTCTTCCAACAGCTGGCCAAGCAGTGTTGAACCAAGAGGTTCCATGACTTCGTGAACCAAATAACTTACAGGGAAAGACAGACATGAAATGAATACACAATTACAAATTGTGATGAATAAGAAAAAAAGAGGAGAGAAAAGCAAGAGCTACAAGTAATTTGGGGGTCAAGGAGGGCTTCCCTGAGGAAGTGAGATTTAAGAGGAGTTCTAAAGGATAAGTAAGAGCCAACCACTGAAAGAAAAAGAATAGCCAGAAAGTGTGGCTTTTGTTGAAACATCTTCCCTTTAGAGGACAAAATACCAAATTTCTCTCAAAAGCGGTCTCACAATTCAATCTGAAGCAAGCTGTTTATGTCATTGGCCTCCTTTGAGTTTAATATTCCAGAAATGTTTTTAAATAAAACATTGCAGATGGGGCACCTGGTGGCTCAGTCATGTAAGCATCTGACTTCGGCTCAGGTCATGATCTCACAGCTTGTGAGTTCGAGCCCCATGTCGGGCTCTGTGCTGACAGCTCAGAGCCTGGAGCTTGCTTCGGATTCTGTGTCTCCCTCTCTCTCTGCCCCTACCCTGCTTGTGCCGTCTCTCATAAATGAATAAATGTTAAAAAAAAAATTTTAATAAAACATTGCAGAATATTACTACTGTGTGGCAAAAAGGAGCTGTTGGTTGTTGTTGTTGTTTGTAAGTTTATTTATTTTGAGAGACAGAGAACAAGCGTGGGAGGGGCAGAGAGGGAGAGAGTGAAAATCCCAAGCAGACTCCATGCTGTCAGTGCAGGGCCCAACCCGAGCTGAAACTAAGAGTCAGACGCTTGCCTGACTGAGCCATCCGGGCACCCCAAGGAGCTGTTGGTTCTTAAAGCTGCATGTGAGAAAATTCAAAATTCCCTGATGTTCTTAACCCACTACCCCAGTCTTAAGAAAAGAAAGAAAAGATTAGTTGCTTGGGGTTCGATCTCTGAATTATCTAATTTTATCTAGAAGGCAGAATCATTTGCTCAAATCTCTAACTGCCATGAAACTTCTTATGCCAGATAGGTCAGATGATGTCACTGATCTTATCTGCAAGCAAACCCAGCAACCCTGCCCCTGAAAGCAATGATTCCTTGCTAACTTCCAAACCAGTCCAGAGTCAGCCTTGGACATAGGACTTCTCAGGGAGGTGTTTCCCCGACTGGGGATCCCTAAGCATGTGAACCTCAACTATGCCACAGTACCTGCTTCCAGCCTTTTCATAATCAAAGCATATCTCCTGAATTCTAGTGGCTCTAGATCCTTCAGAGTGACACCTGTCTTGATTTCCTATTCAAGCATGGAACATTAACATAGGAAGCTGAGGGTCTTCTGTGCTAGAAGCCACCTAGACGGCCCTCGTGTTATTACTGAACCATGGATTTTGTGAACAATCTGCTCCTGCCTCAAGGCCACAATTGCATCCTGGTCTTGTGAAATTCATTACTTCACACCCCTTCCAGCTTGGGTTCCCCAACAGTGAGGGTACACGGCTTCCTTGAAATCTCCACCGGCCTTGGTTTTATGTAGTTGCAAAAGCAGTAGTAGCCCACCATTATCACCTGACTCACTTACTACCACCCGGTGAAAAGGGCATCATTATCATCATCATCCCCATTTTACGAATGATGACACAGAGGTGAAGACATTAATGGGATTTGCACCAAAGATGATCTCCTCTAAAGCTAGGTTTCAGCTATTAATTCTATGGGCAATCTGATCCCACCATTTCTGGTTTATCTCTGCCCTTGGGTAGGCTTTCTTCAATGATGTCTGCGACCTCTAAATCAAGGAAGACCTAGCTTCCATGGGCACCTTTAATCTGGTAGGCAAACTGAGCAGCACGAGGACTGGGCTTCTGTTGGAGCCACGTACACAGTACCAATGGACAGACCAGCACACGGCCTGCCCCAGATTACTCCTGTGATGCAGCCTAAGACCATGGCCCAAGGCACCAGGTGTTCCTCCAGTCAGAGCAGCACTTGGGTACTAGTGGTTAGGACTCAGGCTGTGCGATAATACCTCCACAGGGTAGTCAGCAGACAAGGAAGCACTTAGAACTCAGTACATGGTAGCTATTATTATGCCATCCTAATGCTTTCTTCTAACTTCTTCTAGCTCCCCAGGGACCTATCATAACATAGCTCCTTAGCCCAGTTCCTCCCACAGAGCAACTTACGAGCCGTAAAAGCCCGTGACAGTCTCCCCTGCTCTCCCAACACATATCAAGCCATTCCAAGAACCAAAATGCCTAAGCCATTAGGATCAATAACAAATACCTTTGATCGTATTGTGTGGCTTTTCTTGTGAACCTGTTAGTAGATCATAGGGGTCGACCATGCTCTGGAAATTAGACTACTGTGTTCAAGTTGGGGCTCTGCTACTTAACAGCTGTGTGACCTTGTAAGACTTAGTTAACCTCTCTGAGCCTCAACTTATCATTTGTAAAATGGAGGTAATCACACCTATCTTCTAGGATTGTTGTGAGAACTATCCTTGTATCTATCTATCTATCTATCTATCTATCTATCTATCTATCTACCTATCACCTATCTATCTAATATACCTATGTTTCAATCTCATCACTTTCCAAAAGGATTTTATGGAGGAAAATAACCTTAAAATTCAAATGAAAAAACAAAACAAAACTCATATCTATATAAATGATACACATACATATATGTCTGTGTGTGTATACACACACACACACGTATATATATAACATAAAACTAAAATAAAACTCAAAATAATCTTTGAGGTATCATTTTATATCTGCTAAACCTTTAATTTTCTTTCTTTCTTTCTTTCTTTCTTTCTTTCTTTCTTTCTTTCTTTCTTTCTTTCTTTCTAAAAGTTTATTTATTTAGGGGTGTCTGGGTGGCTCAGTCAGTTGAGCGTCCCACTCTTGGTTTCTGCTCAGGTCACCATCCCACAGCTTTGTGCGTTAGAGCTCCCCCTGTGTCGGGCTGTGCACTGGCAGTGTGGAGCCTGCTTAGGATTTTCTCTCTCTCTTTTCTCTGCCTCTCCCCCACTCGTGCTGTCTCTGTCACTCTCAAGATAAATAAATAAACTTAAAAAAAAGTAAAGTTTACTTATTTTGAGATAGAGAGAGAGAAAGAGAGAGAAAGAGAGAAAGCAGGGAGGGGCAGAGAGAGAGGGAGAGAATCCCAAGCAGGCTCCACTCTGTCAGCTCAGAGCCCAACACGGGGCTGGATCTCACAACTGCGAGATCATGACCTCAGCCCAAATCAAGAGTCAGATGCTTAACCAACTGAGCCACCCAGGAGACCCTTTTATTTTAATTTTAAAGTAAATGTACCCACTGTTGGCCAGGTTAAGATGAAGGTGGTTTACTTATCAATCGCTTACACAAATATAAATTGACTCAACCTTTCTGGAATGCATTTTAGAAGTATATTTCAAGAACTATTATAAAGTTTGCTCTCTTGGTCCCAGAAAGATAAATCTAAGGATTTCCTCTCAGGAAAAAAAATCCAATAGAAGGAAGAGTTCAAATGTACAATATGAATTCACATCCTAAAATTGGTAACCAAGGGTACAAAAATAGTAAAATGGCTAAGTAATGTACCCATCACCACCCTGCTTTCCCTCACAACTATACCAAAATGAAAATCATAAAAGTTACACTGCAAAGTAGAACTAAAATGCCAGGCTGAAAAGAAAAAAGGAAGCATCTCAATGAACCTAGGAAATGATAAGCAATATGTATATTTATTGTGCACGCATATGGATAAATACTCAGATTGTGAAATAAAACAACAGATTGACTGAAGATGAGTAACTTCCTACTGCTCATTTCTAGTGAATTATTGTGATAACCTTATTTGCATTATTAAAAAATGTTTTTAACTTAGGACGTGACCACAGTTAGTATACTCAAGTTCGATTTTAGCTGTGTAGTTTTTTGGTTTTGTTTTTGTTTTTTAATTTATGTTTATTTATTTTTGAGGAAGAGAGAGGGAGAGCGAGCGAGCGAGCAGGGGAGAGAGGCAGGCAGAGAGAGAAAGAGACACAGAATCAGAAGTAGGCTCCAGGCTCCCAGTTGTCAGCACAGAGCCCGATGTGGGGCTCGAACTCATGAACTGTGAGATCATGACCTGAGCTGAAGTCGGCCGCTTAACTGACTGAGCCACCCAGGCGCCCCGCACATTAGTAATTCTTACCACTCACATATTGTTAACAGTCACAGAATTACCACAACCTTGACATAAACTATCTTTCATAATATATCTACAAGCAGAAGCCTATTGAACGGGTTTCTAGTGTATACCGAACTTAGACTTTGCAGAAGTATATGGTAACAAAATTCCTTACCACAGATCTCCTTTCTGATCTGTGATGAGTGATACAGTGATCCAGCAAGCTGTCTTCATCCAGTTCCCTCTGACAAAATGGACACACACACCTGGAAATTGCACAGAATACAAAAATGACTGTATTTTTGTATTAAATACAAAATACATTTTGTATTTTGCTAGCATTTAAACTAGAGCTAAGCAATAGAACGTAGGCGGATCTAGTTTCCAGCCCTTGTTCTGGAAACTTCCAGATTTGACATTATTTTTCTGATCCTGATAATGGTCAGATGCCTACGCTTTTTCTCATGGAGAAAAGTTAAGTATCCTCCCAGGGCCACCGCGGAGAAACGGCCAGAGCAGCATGTGAAGCACTTTATTCTCTTTGGAAGCAAAGTGCAGTCTGAGCACCCATTAACTGACAAACCGGGACCACGTCACCCAGCTGTCCCTGGGTTACTTTTTCTCTTTCTCTTCCTCCCTCTCCTAATTCAGGAAACATAACTGGGTGTTGTTTGTTCTTCAGCCCCACCAGCATGTTACTACAGGTGACTATAAGGAGTATTTGACCTTTACGTCCGTGCTGTCCAGTACAGTAGCTATTAGCCATATACGTCTGTTGTCACTTAAAATGTGGCTATTGAAATTGAGTGATGCTGGAAGTACAAAATGCACTGTGAGTTTCAAACGCTTAATATAAAAAAAAAGCAAAATATCTCAAAAATGTTTATATTGATTACATGTTCAAATGGTAACACTTAAGCTATCTTTGGTTAAATAAAATACACTAAAAATTAATTTTGCTGTTTCTTATTGCCTTTTTAGTGTGGCTATTAGAAAACATAAACTCACATGTGTGTTCTATTGGACAGTGCTGCCTTAAACGCATAGGTACAATATGGAGGCTTGAAATTTTTTGCTCACTTTCTATCATAGATATAACTTCCTGTTCCCTAAGACTTATACCCTTAAGAATTTTAAAAATTTGAATCATGCAGCAGTTAAGTTCTTCTATGAAGCAAAGATTTCTATCTTAAATGCAAATCTTACTCCATCCTAGAAGACTGATTAATCAACAACCCTCCTCATTTTCTATTATTTTGTTTATTACTTAATTCTAACTAGCAGAAGAAATTAGGATTTAAATTAGCCTGGATATATTTTTATATTTTTATAAAAGCTAACAACCTTGCAATCAAACGCATACATTTTCTTAACCCATTTATTGTCCTTCCTTCCTACTGGTCCTTGCAACCAAGCTAATAGAATTCATACTCTCCTTTGAGCTAAAATACTCATTTAAAATTTATAACATCATGGTATAAAACTAACCCTACAATAAATGGATACATTTGCAAAGCAATCTCTAGTAAAACAAAGGAAGGGGGCAATCATCTAGACTTTCAGGTTAGGAAATTTGAGCTTTCAGTGCATTTTCTTAAAATAAGTAAAACTACATTTTCCTTCAGGAGAGGGAAAAAAAGTCACACTCCTACTGAATATCACTATTCATAACTGAGCTCATACTTAGATTAATGGTTTCAAAGCCATCAGCCCATGCAGGAAAACACAAATCATTTCCATATTTTTTTGGTAGGGAGAGACTCCAACCTTTGTAATTACTCTGCCCATCAAGAGAGTAATGGCTCAGATTCATTTCTCTTTTTTTAAAGGAAAAAATAATAATGATCACTATTCTTCATTGCCCCTACTAACTATTTCCATCCTTCCTCCAGCCCCATAAGATTACCCACAAAAAAGATGCCTGCCCCAGACCTGTTCTTCCTTGTTAGACTATATACTGAGGTGTCACTTCCTCCCTTCTAAAGACAAACCAGCAACACAAGAGGAAACGAGCTGGGGCACTGAGCAATGGCAGTGGAAGAGTGAAAAAGAATCCAGGATCTACGTCAATCTATTAGTCAGAAAATAGAGCCGTGAGGAACTTACAACAGTTCCATGTTTTAGTTTTGGATCTTCCTTAATACAAACTTGTCTGAGGAAGTTCTTCCAATCTCTCCAGTGCTTGGTTGGTACCCCCATGCAAAGTTTTTCAAGTACAGAAAGCAAAATTCTTTTGTAAAATGATTACCAATAGGAGGTGTTATGGTTCAGAGCCTAAACACACTCCATACATATTTTCACAATAAAACAGTTAACTGTTCCAGCCTATTAACTTCTCTCCCAAGCATATCAAATTTAGCATTCAACTATGTTGTGCTGAAACAAACCTTGTTGCCGTCTCCCCAAGTTCTTGCAGTGGTCCATACTTATCTATATACTTCTGACAAGATCTTATGTGTGCCCTCATTTCGCTGAGGCAAACCTATATAAAAGCAAATTCAAAATAAATTGCCTGTTGCAAAGGGGCTCAATGAAGTCTTATGATCCAGCTTTATTACTTTCATTATTTCAAATAAGATCATATATAGTGTGGGGTCAGTTGATTAAAAGGATGCATTCATGACAACAGCACAACAAAGTTAAGGCATTATCACAAATAACACTTTAGAAATTTCTCTAATACTTCAAAGACCCAAATGTTGAGTTCTTGAATTTGGTTCTTCCAGAAAGCATATGTTTTTTAAAGTGGAAAGACATTTATTAACTCAAATTTACTTTTTTTGGATGCCATTACCTAATCTGGTGACGGTTAAGAAGTAAGAAAGAAAAAGGGGAGAGGAAAAAGACAGCAAGGTGGAGGAAAGAAAAAAGAAAACAGTAAAAAGAGACAGAGGGAAAGGAAAACAATGACAGATAAAAAGAGCCAAAAGATGGATTTTACTTTTAAAGACGGTCATAGTAAGTAAAGGAAATCCTGTCCCTCAGGGAAAGATATAAATACCACAGTTTTATAATATATCCAATGGTATTACATGAATTCACAATACACAGTATATTTAATGGCCCCATTAAGAGCAAACATAAAAGACAGTTCTTACAGTCCATTTTTACCAAGGCAGAATAAAGAGCCCTTGTTCCTTCAGATATACATTCAGAGATCCTAACCATGAGGCTGTCTGTGGCTAAATAACACATATTCTACTAAATGTTTCATTAGAAACTGATAAGATCTTGTGCTAAAAGAAGCTTTGTACTGCTGTGGTAAGGTGGTCGACCCACCCTGCTTCGTTTCACTCAAACTACGGAAGTTAAACCTCAAACATGAAATCTAACGTGTAAGGAAACTGTTATAATTGCTTAACAAAAGACAAAAACAAAAGCAAGTGGAAAAGTGAAAACATATCCTTGTTTTACACATATCCACCTAAAAGATGTACAAAGTAGGACCGACTGAGGTAGCTGTCAAGACACTGTTTTCCAACTTTTAACAACCAACTTTATACGTCAATTCTCTCACATCTCGTTATTACTTTTGTTAAAAGTTCTTCCTTTGTATTTCTTGAACAACAAAGGTAAACATTCTTCATACAAATTAGAAATTTGGGGACTGTATACTGACAAAGGAATTGATAAATTCATGGAGTGTCTACTCTAGACACAAAATTGTAGAAGACATTGTAAGAGATGGCAAGCCACTGAGCTTGCTCTATAGGTGCTTATAATCTAATAGAAGGGGGCAAAACCACATGTAGACAAGTAGATAGGAAACTGTTTGATACTGGGGACTCCAATACTAAGGCCAGGCCTCTGAAATGGAAATCTGGCCGTGACTCTGAAGAATAGGTAGAGTCTAAAATGGCTCTAGAAGGTGGGGCGCCTGGGTGGCTCAGTCATTTAAGTGTCTGACTTTGGCTCAGGTCAATCTTGTAGCTCGTGAGTTCAAGCTCAGCACTGAGATCTCTGCTTTGAATCCTCTGTCCCCCACCTCTTTCTGCCCCTCCCCAGCTGGTTTTTTTTCTCTCTCTCTCTCTGTCTCTCTCTCTCTCTTTCAAAGTAAAGAATAAACTTTAAAGAAGGAATGGCAATATTCCTGGCAAGAGGAATAACATAAAACGGAAGAGACAGAGGGGCACTTGGGTGTCTCTGTTGGTTGAGTGTCTGACTTTGGCTCAAGTCATAATCTCATGGTTCATAGGTTCGAGTCCCGCATTGGGCTCTGTGCTGTCAGCATGGAGCCTGCTTCAGATTCTGTGTTTCCCACTCTCTCTGCCCCTCCCCTGCTTGTGCTCTGTCTCTCAAAAAAATGAAAACACATTAAAAAAAATAAAAAAAAAAGAAGTGACAGTTGTAAGAAATACCTCAAAGGAAAAATCAAAATACTTGTGAATAATCATTATAAGGGGTGAAAAAAGGAAGGGGATTTCTATCCAGGATCATTGAGAGAATATTCTTGTTTCTGATAGACACCAAAGGTGGGATAAAAACTAGATGACAGAATACTACAGTGAGTTGGATTTGTGCATGTTGAATTTTATATGATGACAAAACATATCAAAGTAAAAATAAGCAACAATCTATTATTATAAATATTAAAAGCTATTGATTTTGAGCATTTACCATGTTCCAGACAGTGTTAAAAGCCATACATGTTTTATCATTTTCCCTTACAACCATCCCATGGCATGAACACTACCTTTTTTTTTTTTTTAAAGTAGGATTCATACACAGCACAGAGCCCAATGAGGGGCTCAAACTCATGACCCTGAGGTCAAGAAGACCTAAGCTGAGATCAAGAGTAGGACCCTTAACTGACTGAGCCACCTAGGCACCTCATGAACACTATCTTTTCCCTCATTTTACAAAAAGATGAACTAATACTTAGATGATAACGTCCCCAAATCACAAACAATGAATGACAGAATTCGTGTTTGATCCCAGGATGTCTGACTCCAAAGACCATGCATACATTCTGTAGTCAGACAGCCATGAACAGATTATGGAGTTTTACATAAATATTCAAAAAAAAATATATTAAGCACTGTGCACCAGTCACTTTTCAAAGTGCTGGGTACGCAGTTGCCAATAAAATAGACAGTCCTGGGGCGCCTGGGTGGCGCAGTCGGTTAAGCGTCCGACTTCAGCCAGGTCACGATCTCGCGGTCCGGGAGTTCGAGCCCCGCGTCGGGCTCTGGGCTGATGGCTCGGAGCCTGGAGCCTGTTTCCGATTCTGTGTCTCCCTCTCTCTCTGCCCCTCCCCCGTTCATGCTCTGTCTCTCTCTGTCCAAAAATAAATAAATGTTGAAAAAAAAAAAATTTTAAAATAGACAGTCCTTTACCCTCATGGAAATCAAATCTGGTGGGGATAACTGACATTATATTAAAAAATCCCAAAAGCATAATTCCAAATGGTGATGAATAGTACAAAGAGGAAGCACAGGGTACTAAGAAAACATAACATAGATTAACAATCAAGAAAGTTCTCTAAAAAATTCAGATCCTCAGCACGTAATCTCTCTTTTGATCTCTAGACTTCATATAATAATTATCCCCCCCTTAGCAGTTCAAATGTAACATATTTAAAACTCTGTGGATTCTTCTCCAAATTTGCTCTCTATATCAGCACCTTCACTTACGCATGTCAGAAACCTGGGAGGATTCTTCTGACACTTTATATTCTCACTCACCCCCACATCCAGTCAGTTACCGATTTCCTTCCACTGTCTCTCCTAAACACCCCTCGAAACAATCCTTTATCCTTGTCTAACGCTCTCGCCCTAACCCACCTTTCTTACCTTAGCCATCCTTAGCCACTGAACTGGCTTCACCAGTCCTGATGTGCCCCCTCCAAATCATTCTGCGCTCACATGCCAGAGCAATATCTTAAAAATATAAACCTGATCGAAAGCTTACACTCAGTGACTCACTACTGCATTTAGGATAAAATCTAGAATCTTCCCGTGGTCTTTGACACCTCACATGATCTAACCAGGCTAGTAGGAAACCCGCAAAAAGATGTGATCAACGGAGAGAAACACTGCAAAGTCCAGAATACAGGAGGAAATATGCCACTGGAATTATGCCAGTAGGCAACATGATGGGGGCGGGGGAGGTCACAGGACCGACGGGAAGGGAGGAAATGGAAGCGGTGGGTGAAAGCATTTGTCTGAAAAATTAGGTGATGGTAGGAGTCAGGGGCCAATTGCACCACAGCCTATACATATGAGAACAGAGAGAAGGAAGGGGAGAGGCAGAGACAACAAACTTTAGAAAGTCAGGGTAGGATGAAGACAAAGGCATGGGTGAAATGATCAGCTGCATAACAATTTCCTCAGCAGTCCAAGCCGGGAACCGTGAGCACAGGCAGAGGGCCACTTACCAGGCTGTCACACTCAGCGCAGTTCTGGTACTCTGATTTCATTCTTCTGGCTACATCAGTTGCTGGAACTCCTTCTGAAGGAAGATATGCCCGGCAATAAGGGCAGGTCCATTTATTGTTCTTTAGACTGGTAGCGATACAGGAACGGCAGAATCTACCCAGAAGAAACCAAGAATACATCACTCTCCTGAAAAGGTATAAAGGAGCTACCACTCTGTGTTTGTTTGTGCACACTGTATTTTCACGGCACCTTGCACGCTAGGAGCTGTACTACCAAATGCAATGTGCATTTGCATCCCTGCTTGGCAGACAGTCTCTTGCTTTCACATGAGACTTCTTTGGAGTCACAACTCATTTCATGCACTGCATGCACTGAAACAAAAGAACACAAAGTAGTGGAATAGAATTCCCATAAACAGAATGAAAACCATAACCCAAAGGATACTTAATGTGTTCTTTCTTTTCTTTAATTCTGCGGGGGGGGGGAGTTCGGGGAGAAAATAGGTCTTTGCTCTGTGGGATTTTGTATGTTAGGGAAGAAAGTAGCAAGAAGTCAAGGAGGCAAAATACCATACATGTTATTATTCTGATAAACTAATCATAATGTCTGGGCATCTGGGTGGCTCAGTCGGTTGAGTGTCCAACTTTGGCTCAGGTCATGATATTGCAGGTCGCGAGTTTGAGCCCCGTGTCCAGCTCTCTGCTGACAACTCAGAGCCTGGAGCCTGCTTCGGACTCTGTGTCTCCCTCGCTCTCTGACCCTCTCTCTGCCGCTCGCTTTCTCTCTCTCTCTCTCTCTCTCTCAAAAATAAATAAACATTTAAAAACATTTTTTTAATTGTTATATGCGCACAAAGGATGCTGACATTTGCATTGTTCTTGAGGCATTTGCTTGATGTTTATGCCTGTCCAACATCCATTTCCTCTTTCTTGCAATAGCATCCTGATTTTGCTCTGCAGGAACTACACCTCTTATATGAGACACAATCTGGTGGGACCTCAGTCAAGGTGTCCACAATTCCCTGCTGAAGACAAGAGCACCTGGAATGGGCCAGACTCAGTAAACCCTCTCTCTAGAAGATGAACACTAAACAGACTGACATAAGACCGATTCAGCAACAACTCGATGGGATTGTCCTGCTCTTTATTTGGAATCCCAGGTCTGTCTAGATCCCTACCCTTTCTTTTTTCCTAGATGTTTTGCTTTTATTGTTGTTTAGTAACTTTTTATTCGAAGTAACTTTAAACTTCGTACACTGGTGGGTTTTTTTAAATTTTTTAATGTTTTATTTATTTTTCAGACGAGAGAGACAGAGCACGAGTGGGGAAGGGGCACAGAGAGACGGAGACACAAAATCTGAAGCGGGTTGCAGGCTCTGAGCGGTCAGCACAGAGCCCGACACAGGGCTCGGACCTACGAACAGTGAGATCATGACGTGAGCCGAAGTCAAACACTTAACCAACTGAGCCACCCAGGCGCCCCTTTTGTTTTTTATTTTTAACAAACTTTAAAACACTTCCAAGTGCCTTAATTCATTTGACCTTAACAAACCCCGAGGAAAGATCACTATTGCCACTTCTAGAAGAGGAAATTGAGGCACATCAGGGTTAAGTTACTTCTGCAAGGTCACACCTGTAGAAAGTACCTGAACTTGGTTGGTCTTAAGCTGGGTTTTCCGACTCAAAATTCAGTAACTGTTCTTTCAAGAGAAATTCCTACCAGAATCAAGAGATCGAAGTCCTCTGCTGTATTTTCCTTCTCTGTGCTTCAGGTGATTAACAGGTGATTAACTGCAAGTTGTAAGGCACATTCTGCCCTCGCACTTCTTTGAGTTCCTAACAAGTGCTTCTCAGAGTGTACTTTTGAAGGGTATTTATTTCAAGTGGTCCATATGCTCAAGTTATACTTCTGACACAATACCTTCGGTTCGTTTAATTTAGGAACAAGCGGATGATACTTTGTTTTTGTTTTTAGTCAACTAAAAACCTTCCCCTTTCCTCACAACTTACTTGAGTTTTATACCAAGACAAACAGAAGACTAATATTGGTGCCCTGCCCTGTGGTGGACCCTAATAGACATGATCTCATCCAGCTCCCAGAGTAACCCTAAAATGCTGCTCTGCCTTTTCCTCACTTGACTGGAGGCAAACTGAGGTTGTTCACAGAGGTGTAAGAACTTGCCAAGTTTACACACCCTGAACCCCAGGTAGTTTTGGTCGGGGCTCAAAAGTCTGTGTAGAAGGTCTTCAACTTACAGTGGTTCCACTTACGGTTGTTTGACTATAGTGATGCAAAGGCGATACTCATTCAGTAGAAACTATACTTCAGATTTCGAATTTTGATCTTTTCCTGGGCTAGGAATATGCAGTATGGTGCTCTCTTACAATGCCGGGCCCTCCCAGTCAGTCACTCAGGCAAACAACCAATACACTTAAAACCATCCTACACCCATATGACCATTCTGTTTTGCACTTTTAGTACAGCAGTCAATAATCATAGGAAATATTCAACACTTATGAAACAGGCTTTGTATTAGACGATTCTGCCCAACTGTAGGCTAATGTAAGCGTTCTGATCATATTTGGGTAGGCTACAGGCTAGGCTAAGCTATGAGGTTTAATACGTCAGGTGTATTAAATGCATTTTCGACTGACTTTAATTTAGGATGGCTTTACCAGAACAAACCCCATGTGAGTCAATAAAGAGCTGTAGTCCTTTTTAAGTCATCTCAGTTCCTCCCAGTGACCAGCAGAAGCAGCAACACTTTGAGACTGTGGGTGTACTCGTATAAACCAGTGGGCTTTACAGAGTACATTTCTATGGTCATTTTGTGGGTCTTGCAAGTGTTTTTGTAACTACAATTGATAACTACAATGGAAATGCCTAGGAGATATTCATGAAAAGTAGCACACTTCAGGCATTAAAAGAAACCAAGTCCCTCAACTATAATTCCCCTACATTATTTACACAATGATAGATGTGGCAGGAAACTCTCAAATGAGCATACATCGACGTTATTGCATTATATGAAAGAATATTCGTTGCAAATCTGGTAGATCAGTCAATTAGTTGTCCTCATCTTAACAAAAGTGATTATTAAATGGAGAACACACATCAAGGCTAAAGTGTTTTGGAACAAACTGACCTTGCTGGTTTTGAGTACATAAAAACCACGAGTTTTTAAAGTGTTACCAATAAGGAAATGAACTTGATCCCACTGCAACTTAAGTCTCATGTTTTAGAGTGCAGAAATAAGATTGCAGAACTACTTAGTTCAAAAAAATCTGAGCTTAGTGGTTAGTTAGCCATTGGGCTCTGCGCTGACAGCTTGGAGCCCGCTTTGGATTCTTTCTCTCCCTCTTTCTCTGCCCCTCCCCAGTCCATCCCCAGCTCCCCAGAAGCATTCTCATTCTCTCTCTAAGATAAATAAAAACTTAAAAAAAATTTTTTTTAAATCTGAGGTTAAAATTCTCCCCTTAAAGGTACAGTTATCAAATTCAAATCTTGTGAACTGGAGAATTTAATATCCTTACTCTAGTGCATTAGCATAAGAAGTATACAAGTGATCAAGCATTATATGAGTTATCTAATTAGAATCCATATGGGGATATTCAGGTTTAGGTAATGTGTGTATATATATAAGCTATGTAACAAGGTACAAAAGCAAGATAACTCAAAAATACAACCTCTTGGAAAGCAAAGTGTAGAACTATGTATATAGTATAAGCTATTTATAATTTGTAGATGTATAAAAGCATCTAGAAGGATTAAAAAAAAAAAAGAACATTTACCAACCCGTTGGAGAAATGGGAACTGGAAAGAAGAGGTGGGCATGTGGTAGAAGGAGGAGATTTTCATCGTCGAATTTCAAGTTTAACCCTATAACCATATTACCTACACAATAAATGATTCTTTAAAAAAGTTAATCAATTATAATCATTCAGGATAAATGGTCCGGTAGTTTTTTGTAAAACAAAATATATAGGCACCCTTTGGTCCTGCAATACCAAGCCCATGTTTTCACTCAAGAGAAGTGAAAACATATGTCTATTTGTACAAGAATATTAATAAGGAGTGTTTTCATAACAGTCCCAAACTTGAAATAACCCAGGTGTCAGCAACAAGAAAATGAATAAACAAACTGAGGCATATTCCCCCAATGGAGTACTACACAACAACAAATTACAATACACACAGCAATATGGATGAATCTCAAAGGCATACCAAGTGAGGAGTGCCCGGGTGGCTCAGTGGGTTAAGCGTCTGACTCTTGATTTCAGCTCCACTTATGATCTCACAGTTTGTGGGATCCAGTCCCGAGGTGGGCTCTGTGCCGACAGTATGGGGCTTACTTGGGATTCTCTGTCTCCCTCTCTCTCTGGCCCTCCCCGTGCGCATACTCACTCTCTCTCAAAATAAACATTAAAAAAAAAAAAAAAAAAAAGATATACTGAGCGAAAGAAGCCTGACACAACAGAGCACATCCTGTATAAACTCTACTTATGTGAAGTCCTAAAACTGGCAAAACTGACCTATGGGATAGGAAAAAACTCACAACAATGGTTGCTCATGGGGGATACATGGACAGGGATTGGCTGGCGATATGTGGACATGAGGGAACTATCTGGAGGTAACGAATATTTCTGTACCTCAACAGGGGTTGTACCTAGGAGGTATTCATTTCACTGCAGGTGTAATTTACCCCAAAAAAACATAAACAAATACTGAAGTCTGGTTAGTACTATGTATGTTGAGAGAAGAAGGAATTGAGTGTACTGATTATTGTAATCTACTCTGAAATGTATCCAAAAGTAAGGTGGATCAATGATGGATAGGTATGTGATAAAATGAGATAAAAGCAATATAGCAAAATTAACAATTGTAGAATCTAGTTGGTGGATATCTAGGTGTTCACTGCACCATTTCTTCCAATTTAGCTGTAGGTGTGAAGTTCTTCATAATAAAACGTTAGGGGAAAAAACGTTAGGGAAAATTAACCATCTTACTATGACTTAAAGTTTGTTTACTCCTGAGAAAAAGTTAGCTGTAAATTTAGGAAGGGAAATTTTTGGAGGATGAGAAACCTGAAATGTTTAATGGAACATGAAGAGAAAAACATTAAAAAAAATTTTTTTTTAACGTTTATCCTTTTT